CTAACAAAATCTCCACTATTCTTCAAAGTGATTTAATTACATTCCTTAGTGACATTTTGACTGTAGGTAGATTCATTTCCCTCCTGGGTTTTCTTTGCAAATAAAATCCAGTATGTCTGCCTACAGCTAGCAATGCTCGCTTAACGTCACCCACTTTTCAGCAAAAACGTGTTAACCTAGCAACAGAGCAACTTCCTCAGGGTCTATTTATCTCATCGTAGACGTTTCCTCCTCTCTGCGGCGGCAGACTGGTGACAGAGCGGCGAACCCCGCGCTTCCTCCTCGTTTTGCAGCCAATAACTGACAGCTTCCTTCTTTCTCTCTATCTTTCTCTCTTTTTTTGTTTCGTTTTCCATCTCCCCCGCCCAACGCAGATTAAAAAGCAGCAGCAGGACGTGATGGGCTTCCTGGCGGCCAATAAAATTGAGTACGAGGAGTGCGACATCGCGGCCAACGAGGCCAACAGGAAGTGGATGAGGGAGAACGTACCGGAGGAGTCACGGCCTGCCACGGGGAACCCTCTGCCCCCTCAGATCTTTAACGAAGAAAAATACTGTGGGGTGAGGATACGTCCAACCCACCGACACGACAGCTTTTCATACCTTTAAGACAAACTTGAAGACAAATTTATCCCAAACTGCAACTCACTTGAGGGCTTATTTAGTTTTTTGCTTATTAGTGAGGTTATTAAGGAAGAAATGATTTGTGAGAAGGAGTTCTTTGGGGAGCATCAGATTATTTTATGAGTATGTAGCAATAATAATATTACTCAAGTAAAAGAAAGAAGGTACTTTGCAGGTAAAACTACTTTTATAAGTACGTTTTTTTTTCTTTTGTTGTTTTTTTTTTTTAAGTTACTGAAGTGAATGTAACAAGTGCTTCCCACTTTTGAACATAGACAACACCAGTACAGGCTACTTGTTAACAGGCACTTCCTGTCGTCTTCCCTGTCCTTTCCACCAGTAGAGACATCTGGTTGTTGGTCATGTGACTGGTGTGATGCGGCGTGGGGGGAACGTGTTTGCATCGCTGTGTCGCTAAAATAATCTCATCCCAGTGCAAAAACTTTACACAGAAAAACATGAAATTTGTTTCTGAAATTGCCGCGTTTTCATGGAGTACATGGTCAATGGGAACGCAGGTTTGTAGCACTAAAACATATTGAATTTTGTTGTTTATTTCTACGTATGAAACTTGCATTTTTTTTATGTATTGGTGCCTGATAGAGGACAGTTGCTTAGCGAAAACATTTCCAGAAAGTTTTGCATATCACTCAGTCTGCAACAGACTGCCAGCAAATTCTGTGACATCATCATCTGACCGTCTGAGCAGAGGGAAAAATATATCCATGGATTTTTCTGTTAGGAAGATGCTTGCATAACCAGGCCAAATCACAAACAAGCGGACACACAAGTTATCCTCTGAAACAAAACGTTCAATTCTGTTTCTTTATTCTTTTGCTCCGCTCAGGGATGCTATTTGGCGACAGAGCATGTGAGGCCGGCGTGAGCGCTGCCGCTAAAAGCATGCTGACTGTTTGCACGGCTGAAGGCGAAACTGCGCTCGCATGTTGTATTAAATGTCACAGACAAAAGAGCAGAGCGACTTCCCAGGACGTCTGCAGCTGCAGGGCGTGTTGGAGTGCGTGGGAGAAAGAGGAGAGAATATAAAAGGACCGAGATGGAGCGAGGAACCGGGAATGCGGGCGACTCTGTCCGAACAAACGCGACGTGGGGGAGTACGGGCGGCTTGTTCGTCTCAGCCGTTCTCCGAACTCTGCGGTCACTTACAGTGTGTTGCAAAATGATGTGTGAAACGTTTCCATATATTACGGTCAAGAAAAGAGGAAAAAAAGAAGAAAACCCCCACAAGGTTGAAAACTAAAACAAGGCGTTTTGTAGACCGGAAAAAAGCGTCGGTAGAAGCATAAGCTTATTATGCCTTCAATGTTATTATAGATACAGTAAATTATCGAGTCAAAATATCAGAATGCTCCCTGTATGTTCTTCTAAAACATACTTCCAGCTGCGTCAAACTCATAAAAGAAAACATAATCAAACCTTATTGTGATAAAAATAAAAAAATAAAAATAACTGTATTAATTGGGCACCTACAGATAAAATATGAATGAAAACAAATAGAAACGTACAAATCCGGGAGATTTAAAAAATCTGAATTTAAAAATCTCCCACATTTTTAGATGTTAAATAAATTAACATACATTATTTATTTATTCAATTTATTGAACATCATTGAACAACAATCATTTAGTATTTAACACATTTAGTATTTTGGCTGTTTAAAAACCGTATTAGCACGGCCTAGTCAAAGTACTAGTCATACACTCTCCAACAAATCTGACTGAGGTAGAGCCGCTTTTGCAAAATAATGAGCGAAACCTTCACATTCACTTCACTACTATAATGTGGGCTGAACAGAAACATGCCGCACGTTTCAGATTTCTGTTTTTCCCCATTCATGTGCTACTTTGTATCAATGAAATGAGCACCCTCTCAAGCCGTTGTGGGTTTTGAAGCATTAATTTCAGAGGACGCTGTGCAGATATAGATGAGCTGAACCGTTGCTGCTTCTCTTTATTTATTTTCACTTTTGTTTTTTCAGAACTACGAGGCCTTCTTCGACGCCAGAGAGGACAACGCTGTGTATGCATTCCTGGGTCTGACTGCTCCTCCGGGTTCGAAGGTGAGCTCCCACAACAAGAACACGTCAGTATTTTGTCCTTTCTGCGAATTGGCAACACAAGACATCTCTAAATATAACTGTGTTAATTTCGGCTCAGAAAAAAAAAACACGTTTCCAGTCGTCACACAATTCATCTGTCCCAACACGCCGCATCCTCTCAACGCTGGCACCTCCTGTCTGCCGCAACGGGAACCGCGGGCGCAGCGGTTGCCGTAGAAACAAAGCCGTCAGATATCTAAACCGATGTCCTCCATTTTAGTATAACATACCCTTCCTCTTCTTCTGTCTCCCTCCTTGTTTTGTCGCCAGGAAGCAGAGGCTCAAGCAAAGAAGGCGCAGCAGTAGCATTTTCATCACCGTTTCTACCTTAAACCTCAGGCCTTCCCAAGACCCGGACTGACCCAGAACCCACCCGGAAGAAGAAGAAGAAGAAAAACAACAACAGAAAAGCAAAGAGAAACGACTCACCACTCTACTTACAAGCGCACGGACCGTTTCCTTCATTGTTACCTTTACTCGGTGTGTTTTCTTATATTTCCGCCGTGCCTTCCCAGCAGCAGGTAAAAGCACGGAGCTCTCCGGTCAGCTTCGGCCCGCTAAACCTGTTGGCCTAATGCCCATCTACCATCAGTATGAATGTGGGAAAGAAACACATCACCAGGCACAAACGAGTGTCTGAAAGTCATGTAACTTGAGATTCAGGGTGCCACCAATGTCAAATATTAGCACATAATAATCATTTCCACCACCGATCCTGGAAACTCCTGACCCAATACTTAGGACTTGACAGTCATTAAAACATCAGCTGCTTTCTGGACAAGTGGTCCATTAGCCTCTATTTTTACTTACTTGGTATTGTCTTAATGCTAGGTCGTTAGCAAACTTTTTTTTTTGTATTTCAATGTTTAAGAATACCTGCCAAATGGCCAAATGAGGGATTGTTTTTTTTAAAAATTATCTTATGTGTCTGTATTTTTAAGAAAGCTGCAGTTGGAGTCATATTTCCTGTTGTGTTTCTTATTTCTGTATAATGCCCCCGAATTTAAATAAAACACAAAGACGACTTTTGGGTCAATCATTCATGCATATTTCCCACTTTTCTCTGACACTTTTCTATATTTTGTGCACAACTAAAAGTCTCCAGGGCTTAGAATGTAACCTTTTTTTGTCTTTTCTTTAAGGATTCATTGTTTCTCAATGAATGTCCTCTCTTGCGATCCAAATTTATATCCTTCAGTAACTAAATAAAAACACGTTTTCGTAAATGTTATGCAAAGTCAAACACTAAGCTACAGGAACATTCGAGAGTTGCATAAGAGAGGCACGTTTTTTGAAAAATGCAGAATGGGAACCAAATCCAAACGCCTTCATTTTCCTAATTGAAACGAGGCTGAAATGTACCTTTACCGAATGAGAATGAAATAAAACCTTTACAGCGGGGAAATAATTATCAGATAAATTTGTATGTTCCCTTGCATACAAAAAAACCAAACAAAACAAAAAAAACGGCTAACAGCTGTTCCTGTGATGACTTTCAAAAGCATGAAATATAACAGATTTGCAAGAAATTGATATCAGGGGGTCAAGATCATCATAAAGACGGTGCCTAAAACTATGACACACACTTAACTTAGAGCTACTTGATCGTAGCTCGAGGAGGTAATGAAGGCAATTTATTGATTTATTTATGTGTTGGATGTGGGATGCTGAAAGTTTAAGGACATCAAGGACTGGAGTTGAGGCACCAGATCAAAATGAGTCTCTCACCGCCACCAGCATCAACGACACGACAAAGATGGACGGGATCAAACCGGTGACCCGCTGACTACAGGACAAACTCCTGCCTTCGTCGCCACCAATGCCCTGGCCTTGACGAAGCGGCGTGTTCAACAACAAGCTCTTTGGCATTGTATTAGGTAAATCTCTACAGTAAAACACAAAGGTGTAAGGTTTACACTTGAGTACAGGATAGTTTTACCAACGTGTCATCGAACCTTGGGCCAGAACCTTCTTCTCTCACGCAGAACATTAAAGGATTGCAGAAGAGACTTCCAGCATTTCAGTGAAGAGCAACAGTAAAGCAACAAACCATTGGCCAAAGAAGAAGTTCATCGAGATCATGACGAATCTCTCTTGAAGTGTACAAACTGGCAATCTGTGTCTCCATTCCTGTTTAGGTACAAACATCACCTAACTCTGTGATGTTTAGCGAGATATTAATTGAAGAAGTGAGCGGTGGGGGCTGTCTGTTCTCAAATGCAGAAGTGAAACAGGGCAAAAGAGCTGCATCATTGCACTTGCAACCGTAACACCGTCATTAAGATTTGAAATTATCGCTTGAAACGAGACGAAAGGACGGCGGAGAGGAGAGGATATTCCGGGAGTCATGCTGGCTGAAGGTTTTCTCAGATTAATGTGCTACAGGGAGGAGAGAAAGTTCCACATGGCTTCCAAAAGGAAAGGATATCAGACGAGCACGCGATGTGCCGACCCGCTCAGCTGTTCTGTCCCTCAGCCGAACTTTGTCAACCCACAGAGACATTTGACCGAAGAAGGTGGGTGGACTAGTTACTGCGGTTCATTGTTGGAAGTAGAATCTGGCAATCTTAAAACGGACTATTCCACTTTCATCTTGTGTTGCTTTTTCTCCTAGTTGCACCGCTTCAGTGTGACTGCAGTGCTTCCTCTTTTGCCAGATACAATCTTCCCAACAGACACTAGCAGTTTTAAATTTACATTATCTTGTTGCTTCTGACACTATCCACATCCTCTTTACTTTCAAACTGCACAACTCTCTAAACTCAAGGCAACTAAATCTTTACATTTGAAATTTGGTAAGGACAGGTTAAGGGAAAGTGAATGCTACACTGGAATCACTCAGTGTGTTTTCTGTGATCAGAGTCAAACCAGGAAGAGCTGGACCCCAACAAACCCCAGGGACTGAGAGTGGCGTCCGAGCTTCCAGGCCTCCTGATTCCTGGGTGTTCACCGGCAGCCGCCCTCCCACCCATTTGCGTCGAAGACTGCAGCCTCCTGGAGCACTACCCAGACCTGCAGGTGGCCGACTCGGGCCGCATCTCACACCACCTCCCCAGAACCGTGGCCAACCAAGAGGACTTTCACTTTCAGCCTAATGAGGCGGGCCTTCAGACGGAGGCCAAACAGGAGTCCATGCCAGACCAGGGCTACCTGGTGATGGGGCCGAGCGAAAACAGCTTGGATCTGTCCGGCTTGGAGCCCATGTCCAACTCTTTGTTGAATGGGCTGCTGGAGAAACAGCTGGAGGAGGTTTACATGCAACACCTGACCGACAACTTGGCCCGATGCGACTCCCACTTCGGGAACAGCCTCCTGCACGGCCTGGTGCCGCCGCCGCAGCCCGGCTGCCAGTCGCACGGGCCGTACTCACTGGAGGCCAGTCTGGCGGACGGATCCGGGGGGGACAGTGGCGATAAAGTTAGTTATCTCAACACCCACAACTTAGCGCCCTGCTCATCTACCTTCAGCTCTCCTATGCTGAGGATTTCAGAGGTGGACAATCCTCAGCTTCAAGGGAACAATCCATCCAAGTAATAAAAATCACAATACACAATTTCTTTTTAATATCTGTGCCTGACATTCAATTTTTTAAACCTCTACGCCACATGTAAAAGGATTGGATCAGTGTGTTTTATGAGGCAAAGCCTTTTTCTTGCCCACTGGATCAGAGCAACTTCCACACGCCATCTGCTGTTTGATTCTGGTATTACGTGAACTGACAAGACATTGAATAAAATGAATCTCACAGGCATTGCTAAATTAAATTAGGAGACATTTCAGAGTCAGTTATTGCTTGGTGTTTTACACATGAATAAATCATCGCTTTTTTCCCAACTTTATCTTAGAATCTGCACATATTTTGCTGATTGAAATTATTCATACACCAAGTAGATGAATATTTGGTGAAGATTTGTGGTGGAGAACAAGGGAGCCACTCACTGATTCAGTCACAGATCAACACACTGAGCTCATGTTCACATGTTTTATCACATTATTATTACAAACTTCAATATACATTTTGGGATTGTAAAGGTCTGCAACCTTTACAATCTAAAGTGTCATTTTTGACAAGCCAAAATAAGACTTAAGAACCCCCGCTCCCCCCGAAATTTTATTTTTTTAAATTTCAGTGTTTTTTTTTTTCAATTGTTTTTAGCAAAAGTTAGTAACCATTACATGGCTGTGCAGAGACCTTTGGATGGCCAGGGGCTCAAATTTAAAAAAGGGGCACATTGAACAAAACCACCATACAACAACATAGCAACAACCTGTATTACTATATCACTGCCATCATCAGGGGACAATGCAAAGCAAATGTAATATATTTTTCCCAACAGGTATAAAGTTGCTGTTTCTGCTGCTGACAGTCCTGGAGGGATGAGTTGATCTGAGACTGTAGCTGTTAAACAGACCAGAGGAGAGAAGGTCAAAGGTTATGAAGTTATGAAATAAGCACATTTGCTGCCATTTTATTAATTAAGTCCTAATAATATTTATTTAACCTGTAGAACAACTTGGCTGGAGACTGATTTATAGATTAAAAAAAAAAAGCTGAAAGGGGTTTAACTCTTTATAACTTTTTGATGTTAGCACCTCTGAGATCTAGAATTATAAGACTGTTGCTGGTAGGGGCCATTCAGGGGCCACAAGACATTCAGGGGCCCCAGGCATTCAGGGGCCTCAGAAATGGTTTATATGTAACACAGACCATAAATCTAACCCTGTACCATCCATTTATAGAGAATCACAATGTTATTAAATTTTATTTAATGGATTCAGCTGAGAAAAAAATTTACATTTAGGATTTAATTAGGAAGTTTACTTTGTAAAAGTTTAAAGAGTCATCTTGTTAGTTTGATTGTTGCGTTACCATGGCTACAATATGGCGTAATCTTTGTGTTTGAGTTAAATTTGTTCACAAATACGTCACAGCAAATAACCAATAATCTGTGATTGATTTTAAACTGGGCCAATAGACCTGGCCTCCCTCTCACAGATTCACCTTATCAATATTTCAACATTACTGATGGGTTTCAGAGGGATCAATACAGAGGTTGAAAACTAATTAAAACCAGCAAAATGCTAGTTCTAAATAATGAAGCGATCAAATAGCTCCTGTTAAATCCACTTCAGTGTTTTCTCTGTGTTTTGTGATGCAACATAAGAGCCAAGCGGCTTTTTGGGGATCTCATGTTCTCTTCCTGCTCATTAGAAACATTCAACTCTGAGCCACCAACAGCACCAATCAGCTGGTTTGAAATCGTAAATGTAAAGCACTTCTCAGACTCATGACATCAAACTGAATCGAACTGAAGCCTCGAACGGTGCATGATCAGCGTGAGCTACAGAAGAAAAAGCGGGTTGTGTTCGCTGAGACCTGGCATGCGGGCTCCATGTCCCCCCAGCCAGCTTGAATCAAAGCAACCTGCAGAGGACCATGAGGCACGCCGCACGTCCAGGAGAGCAATTATACCAAGACTTACCGCGGATTCGACTGCTTAAGTTAGATTAGTAACCTAAAAGTCTAAAATCCTCACAGCCAGGTTCTCTGCAGTCAAGGAGACGGTGATCCAGTAGCATGCAGCAACACTGTTAAAGCCTGAGGCGCTTCGACTCCGCTGCTCTCAGAGATGGAAAACAGAGATTCGACAAGGTTTCGCCTGTGATTAGCGGATTAGACGTGACTAATCGTGCAACGTCTCACCGGAGATGGTGGCGGGTGAATTCTGTGGTCAGCTAAAAATTAAATTCAAAGACAAAGAGTTGGAGAGAGATAATGTCCACCCCGGAGCGAAACGAGTTTTAAAGAACAGTGAGAACACGAGGAACCGGTTTGAATTTGGTATCAGCTCACCTGTTTTCATCAAACTGTGCTCGCAGGGATGTTAAAGATGATTCAATTTGGTGCAGTCGTCAACATTCCCTTCATTTCTCCATCACTCCAACAGCTGAGCCATGTTTCTGGCTGAAGCCGCTTTCAAAGAAAACCAACTAGTTAGAAATAATCTACAAACAAGCAGATTATTAACTAAACTAGTTTTTAAAGTAATTTAGCTGCATGTCATCCACAAACTTGAAGGTATTTAAGGTCTTTGCACTTTTGCACAATTTGGTGATTTATATCACAAACGTTAGTGTGATGTATTGGGTGTTTAAATCCTAAAACAACTGGGAAAAATATTTATAAGTTGATTATATAGAATAAAATAAAATAAGAGTCTTTGGGGGGAATTACAGCATCAGAGTATTAAAATAAAATGATCTAGAAAACAACATGAACAACTGTATACTGATAAAGCATCTACAGATAAAATTAGACCGAAAGATTTATTTTCTTCTTTGTTTATCTTTATTTGAGCATGTTTATTGCCGGAGCGACGGGAGAAACCAGGCGTAGGCGTTTATGGTGTTGATAACCATTCTTGTCTCGTCATGATGAGAACCTGGATTTATCACGACAACAAATCCAATTCATGATGTTTGAAAACACCTGAAGGTGTCTGTGGTGTCAGCATTGTTACTTTTACTACACTGTGCCTCGAAAAATGTGATTAAATTCAAAATTAGGATTAAATGCTGTCACCGTTTCCAGTCTGGTGACAGGAATCAGGATTTTCTATGTAACTGGAGAGGAAACTGGAGAAAATGTCTTCAAACACACATCCATTTTGAGAGAAGAAGTTATACTTTCTTATCGACGCTTTTATTGTTATCCCAAAAAAATACCACGAAATTCTGTGCTAGCATTTTATGTTCATTGTAGATAAAAACCCCAAATGCTCTTCTCTCTACTCCACAGTCACGTACCACTTTGTGTGAATTACAGCTAAAAAATATGCAACATTCCATCCTGCTTTTAAATAAATGTTTCTGTTTTGGAGAATCATGACTAAAATTGTAACTCTTCACTTGTTGGGCCTCAGCGCCTTAACATAAAAATTCAGACTGCTGGGTAGAACGTGTTTACAAATAAAATAATAAACTAAAGTAAAATAATTACTTCTGCATAGACGTCACCATCCCTGATTGATGAAATTCCAGTGTTTGGGTTTTGGCTGTTTTTGGGAGATAACAACGTCCCTGTTCTCCGGATCACTTGGTGCTGTAACTCAGGCGAAGCTTTTGCTAATCGACGGGCTGTGACTGCAGAGAACACATTTCAAACTGCGCCGACGGGACAGAAACAAAGCAGAGAGCAGCAGCACCTGCGCTCTGAGCCGTTGGACCGACGTCGCTGCCAGCTCAGGGATTCCTGTGCACATTAGCGTTTGCGTGGCTTCAACAGTTTTGGTGGAAGTACACGAGCTGCTGGCCCGCCCTCTGTCTCTCTGACCCCTGCCCTGTCCTCTGCCTCTCTCCTGTTGTTCCAGCATGGCCGCAGGATGGCTGCGTTTTGGCCTCTCCCTCTGCTGCTCTCCCAGCATCTCTGGGCCTGTTTGGCCCTGACCCTCCCGGACGAGCCCCCGTCGGAGGGTATTGACGCCGGCCTCGTCGGACCATCTGTGGATCCGCCCGGTGCTCTGAGGGTGTTCAGCTTGGACTACCACCACGTGCAAGCTCCCTTTGAGATCGTGCTGTGGATCATGCTGGCCTCACTGGCCAAGCTGGGTAAGGCCGACAGCAGCGCCTCTCTGTTGAAAACAGGATGGAGGGGTGGGTGGGGAAAATAGCTCAAATTCAGGGTGAGAAATGTGAAATGTCAGAAATACTGTCAAATGTCATGTAGGATGGCAGATTTGGATGTAAAGTGTCAATTCACGGTAAATGTAATCTCCAGTCATTTCAATTCATCTGTACATAGATTCCAATTGATCCCAGTTAAACAACAAAACATTTCAAACAATAGAAACAACAATTTAACATTATTTTGGTAAATATTGGGTATTATCAAGAGTGCCCTGAAAGGACTTTGAACTGCCTTGTCGTTGAAATGTACCGTACAAATAAACTTGATTGATTTATTGGTTAATCATCAAAACATTGTACAACTGAAAAATTTCAGCAATTTGGCCAAAGCAGCCAAATTACTGAAATTCTGTTAAAATTTCACAACTTTTGTCAAGGTCTGCAGTAAAATCAGGCAAGTGTGTCAGATAAATAGAGCGGAATAGGATTGTATTATAGACCTGTAGCACAGATTGCTAAATGTTACATCTAAATTTTAATTTTTAATTAATTTGAATAATAAACTGAGCTGATAACTAGGATTCATTTCAGTTTATCCCAACATTTTAATACAAAAACATAGCCTGTCACATGACCTAATAGCCCAAATCAGTCAAAATGTGGTTTAATAAATTCTCTGAGTAAATCAAATGTTTTAAACTTCAGATTTTGAAACAGTTTTATTCTTATTTTACAAAGAAACCACACGACAACTTTGCTTTTGGTAATATAGAAAGTCAGAGTAATCTGCTGACCCCATTCGAGTTCCCCACTCTTGTTGTCATCTTCTCAGGTTTCCACTGGTCCGGTCGAGTCCCAGCTGTTGTCCCAGAAAGTTGCGTCCTCATCATGGTGGGCCTGCTTGTGGGAGGGGTGATCTACGGTGTCCGCCACTCTGCGCCCCCTACTCTGAGTGCCGACGCGTTCTTCCTCTTCCTGCTCCCGCCCATCGTTCTAGATGCAGGTTACTTCCTGCCTGGGAAGCTGTTCTTTGAAAACCTTGGTACCATCCTCTGGTTCGTACTTTGACTGCTTGGTGATTAGATTTGAATAAAATTGTTATATGTTACCCAAGATGTAACTTGCGAAGTTGCAAAAGCCACAAACAGGAGAGAAGAAGACCTTCCTGTTGCTCCACCTGCAGGTATGCGGTGCTGGGAACCCTATGGAACGTGCTGGGCATTGGCCTGTCTCTGTACGGCGTTTGCCTGCTGGTTCCAGACTCTCTGGGCGACATCTCTCTGCTCCACTGCCTGCTGTTTGGCTCGTTGATCGCTGCCGTCGATCCCGTGGCCGTGCTCTCCGTCTTCCAAGAGATGCATGTCAATGAACAGCTGCACATCTTGGTGTTTGGAGAGTCGCTGCTCAACGACGCCGTCACAGTGGTCGGTGGTGTTTCCAAAAATGTTTTTTTTTCTACATGAAGAACCTACTGAAGTGCACTTCTCCACTTCTTAGGTGCTCTACAAGCTCTTTGAGTCCTTTCTGCGGCTGCCTTCGGTGACTGGACTGGATGTTCTGGTGGGAGGCTGCAGGCTGATAGTGGTGGGTTTGGGAGGCTTCTTCGTGGGACTGTTCTTTGGCTTGGTGGCAGCTCTCACCTCACGGTTCACCTCCAGAGCCCAGGTCATCGCTCCCCTCTTTGTCTTTTTGTATTCCTACCTGTCCTACCTGACTTCAGAAATGCTTCACTTCTCAGGAATCATGGCGTGAGTATTGATGTCCGTCATCCCAACCCTTAATAAAGGCTTCTGTGATGCACTGGCAAGAACCACAACATAATGTGAATTTAAGGATTTTTTTAAAAAGTTGGCTGAAGGAAGAGATGGATGGGTTGGATGAATTGGATGAGTGATGAGTCATCTGTAGAGAGACATGTATGGAGACTGTCTCTCTACAGTCTCCATACAGTCTTCAAAAAATATCCTGTCCAGAATGGAACTTGAAACAGAAACAGGTTAGAGACAATCTGGAGGAAGTGATGAAGGAGGAACCAAAGGTTCCCAAGAAATGAGGTAATGGATTAAGGGATGAAGGATAGAGGAAAGGATGAAGGATACAGGAAGGAATGAAGAATGGAGGAAGGGATGAAGAATGGAAAAAGGAAGAGGTAATGAGGGGGCCCTCACTCACTCAAGTAGGATGAGTGAGGGCGGGTGTTGAAAGAGCATCACGGCAGTGGAATTGCAGGTGAAGTGAGTTAAAGACGAATGATTGGAGGGTTGGTTGAGTTCTGGTCCTGCTCCTGAGCCTACCATATTAACTTAATTAATCAGTATTTTTCCCAATTCTCCAGCATTGTGACTTGCGCTGTGACCATGAAACAGTACGTGGAGGCTAACGTGTCAGAGCGCAGCAACACCAGCATCCAGTACTTCCTGAAGATGTGGAGTAGCGTGAGTGAGACCTTGATCTTTGTCTTCCTCGGTGTGTCCACCATACAAGACATCCACATGTGGAGCTGGCCTTTTGTCTGCTCCACCCTGCTGCTCTGCCTCGTCTGGAGGGCCACAGGTATTTCTTACGTATGAAATTACTTCAGTCTTTTAAAGAACGTCTCTTGCTCAAACGTCTTCCCTATATGTAAGGCGTTCTTCTGCTCACCGCTGTGGTGAACAAGCTTCGGAGGAACGCCGTGACCTTTAGAGACCAGTTCATCATCGCCTACGGTGGCCTCAGAGGAGCAATCTGCTTTTCTCTGGTCTTCCTCATTGATGACTTCCCAAAGAAGAGGCTCTTCATCACAACCACCATTGTGGTCATTCTCTTTACCGTCTTTGTGCAGGTGAGAAATAAATGTAGTGTGTATCACAACAGCTCAATCAATAGGAGGGGTGATTTAAGATTTTCACCGACGCAGCTTGGTTATTAGGGGATGACCATCAAGCCTCTGGTGGAGCTGCTGGACGTGAAGAGGAAGAAGAGAGCTCTGCCTACAGTCAGCGAGGAGATCCACAGCAGGGTGAGACTTCCATCCAGCTCAACCGCTGAGCTGCAGTTTCCATCTGCAGAAAGCCATTTTCACACCTTACCCAGATTCTCAAATGCACAATACATGAATGCACTTTGACCTCATCCACTCCATTGCAGCTCTGGCTGTTAAAGTTTATAGCATCAACCGGAGGAGAATCTTCTCCCTAACTGAAATCTACAGCAGCCTTTAGTTAACTGTGAGTTATGTTGCCATATACGTGGGATGCATGACACACTGAGCCCTTTTTATTATTGTGCTACTCTTTCCTACTGCTCTAAAAATTTTGGTTTATCTGTATTTTTTGCTGCCATTATCTGACTGTTTTCTACTTTTCTCTCTTCATGGAAATTACAACAGCTTCATGCTCTGTTAGACGAGACACTTGGCCACGTCTTTTCCTGTTTAACTCCGAATCTCGCCAACATAAACTTAATGATACTACAGCTGCCACCATCTACAGTATACCCTCTGATTTTCATCTCATAGATTTTACTACTCAGAGCTTATTGTTTAGCTCATTTTCTCTGGTAGCGGTTCCTATCAGTAACTCCATGACACACTACTTTTCCTTCAATAGAAAGTATTCAGAGACCCGTTTGTGTTTTGTGTCTCTACTCTGTCCTCTGAGACAGATTTCGCTGGATGTTTGTTCGTAGTAAAAAGGAATCTTGTCTCCATGAAATTGATTTGGCATCCTTAGACATACATCATATTTCTCTCTCTCTCTCGCTCTCTGTGTCTCTCTCTTTCTTTATATTTATAAAAAAAAGTACCTTCTAATATTTTAGAAGGTACTTTATTATTGCTTCTGTTTTAAATAATTACAATATAATTCAAATTAAATCCATTAAACTAACCAAAACTGACAAGGAAACCATATTTAGTCCCACGTTAAGACAATTTTAATAATACGTATGATGTTTGGAAATGAAGATAAAACATCTGCTTTTAGCTCTTAGACCATCTGCTGTCAGGAATAGAAGATGTGGTTGGCTACTGGGGGCAACATTACTGGAAAGACAGGTTAGTTTTTCTCATTTCCCCCCCTTTTTTTTTTTTTAAACCAACTCTGGAGAGTTGGTATTTTTTCTGATCATGTGACGCAAAACAGCCACTAAGTGGCAGCACATAATTTATAATATGAAACTTTTTCCACCTGCGGTTTGTGTTTGTGTGAGGTTTGAGCAGCTCAACAAGAAGTACCTGCGGCGCTTCCTCATCGGTGAGCATCACCAGGCTCGCTCCAGCATCCTGAGAGTCTACCAGGAGCTGGAGAGGAGGGAGCAGCAGGGGGACGAGGAGGCACTGCCGCCGTAAGAGGACAGAACCACCGTAGAACCCGCCCAATAGTCCTACAGGAGTTCAGAAACTCCTGTGGGACTATTAAGGAATTCTGCTGTAAAACAAGATTTATATGTAAAAAAAAAAGAGATCTAACTGATCCAAGCCTTTTCTTTACACTGACCTGGTCTGACACTCTGGACCCTGAGGACTCATTTGAACTGCTAACATCTGATTGTTTAACATACAACTTTTATGGTTTTTTTAGTATTTTATTGAACAATAAAATACATAGTCATCATTGGTGTTCTCATCTAATAGAAACCAAACATCCCCATTCTCACATAAAACCCCAATTACTATCCCTGAAAAGAAAACACTTCATGAACGTTCGCACCTTTCCTTTCAGAGTGGACCCCCGCCCCGGCGGCCGTCCCCTCCTGCCGGAGGAAATGGACAGCATCAGGCGTATTCTGTCCAGGAACCTTCAAAACTTTAACAAGAAGGTAGATTGCAAGCCTTCCTCTGAGGTTCCTCCCTGCGTCCAGCCAGAATAAACGTGACAGTGTGTGAAATGTGACTGCAGCAGACTCCAGCCTACAGCAGACATACCTTGCACCAAGACGCCTCGGTGAAGACAGCCCTGCACAGACATCGGAGCCTTCCGGAGAGACACACCTGTAGCAGAAGCACGCTCTGCCCACAGGTGACCAGAACAGAACCCAGCGAGGTTTCCAAGAGAAGCTCATTTCAGTTTCAGAGCGCTTTATATGTCTGTTTATGTATAGGAATGAAATTTAAACACGATTAAATCACACCATCAACACAAGACGATCTAATTCTAAAGAATGTATGGTGGCAATTTATTTAGAAATTAGGAGAATTTGAAAATGAGTCAAGTTTATGTGTACGGCCCATTCCAGCTACAAGGCAGATCAAAGTCCCTTACTTCGTAAAATCACAAAAATAAAAAGTCATGAAAACAACACACAGTCACCAATTGAGAAACCAAGTAACTATCATTACACTTTGACAAATGCCATCATCACAATCATCAGTTCACCTCCAATATGTTGGTAAATAATCAATTTTTTTGTGGCTCAAATGCAAATCTAAAAAGTTTTAGTCTTTTTTTTTAAAGGAATTCTGTGTTTCAGCTGTTTTGCAGTTTTCTGGAAGTTTATTCCAGATTTCTGGTGGTTTGCAGCTGAATGCTGCTTCTCCACGTTTGGTTCTGGTTCTGTAACTGTAAGCTACGTCTTTGCTTCCTTTCTCTGTTATTTCCAGTGTCAGCAGGCGGAAGGAGAGTCCTCCAAGTCTTACAGAGGCAGAGCGCGACTCAGCAGATCTCACACAGGTCAGGCAGAACGCTGACGATGTAACAGTCAGAAACAGACACTTACTGCATCGGAAAGTGTTGATCCGTCTAATATTTCTGTCTGAAATGTTGCACAGGACGCCAGCAGATTGCTACACAATATGGGTTTTCTTCAGTGTGACCATAAACATATAATGATGAGCTTAAGACAAAGTACATATCTTTTGTAGCCCTAAACTAACTCACAAATTCCTCCTGGTTTGCATCAGAGAAATCTACGCTGGTTCATCGGTCAGTTGGATCTGTCTGATCCAAACCTTTGAACTTTTCTTGGTTCAAGGTTTGAATGCGGTTCCTAACCAGATGCTCCAAAGCGTCCGGTCCATAACCCTCCAACGCTCCCGGTCAGAGAGACGCATTTAGTTCAGAGTCCATGAGATGATATTCAGAAATGATTGTTTTATTGATTGATTTTAGTTCCCTCTGCAATGAACTCTTTGCGTAAAGTCTGCGATGTCTATGAGGGTGTTAATTATAACCTGTCAAAATTACAAGACGGCTTCAAATTTTCCCGTCGTTTAAAAAGATAACTGGTCAAATACGGAAACTATTCCGTCAACGTGACCTCTGGTCCACAGCGACGCAAATTTAACACCAGCACGGATTGGAAGAGAGCCGACCGAGAAAGAATTTCATGCTCCAGAATCAAGCTCTGCTGAGGACAACAGTGAGGACCTGAGTTCTTCAGAAGACGGACAAAGAAAGTTTCGGAACATGAAAATAGGAGCTGCAGCTTTGGCCGGGGGGACTTTTGGGCTGGTGGGCACCCTCTGTTTCCTCGTGGCCTTCAGTACAGACTACTGGCTGGTAGCCGTAGACGACTGTGAGTTTCACGAGCCCACCACACCCCACCCGACACGGAGCAAAGACGCAAACAGGACAAAGGTAGGCCGCCGTCTTTCTGCCACGCCTCGTTCAAGATCTCTGTCACAACAGAAAGACACGGCCCGCTTTCACGGCCCAGGATTACATGACAACCACAAAAAGACTAGTATGGAAGCTGGTCAGATGTTTTGTAAACAGTGGCGTGCAAGACACGTCTCTTAGGATATTTAAAGACACAGAGAAGCTATGTAGCGCTGCGCATCCATAAATATGGAGGCGCAGGACTCCGAGCCCCACAGCAGGTGGTGCTGAGTCGTCTCGACGTCTCTGAAAAAACAAACTTCTGGAGATTGAGTTGGAATTTTTAAGGGATAGAACAACTCAGTGTCGTGCATCACTGTGACTATGAAGTAAAAGAAAACCAGCAACACGTTTTAACATTTTTGATCAATAAAATCTGGAAAAAATGGCAAACACTTGCATTTCAGGCCCCCATACTCCCACAGCTCTGGTAAAACTGACGCTCCGCATCACCCTGAAGTTACGGCCCCTACCATGAAGCAGCGGCGGCATCAGGAAGCTGATCGGGTCGATGGGAGGAAGAGAAAAACAGTGCAGTGATGTGAGAGACATGAAACATGTCAGAGGCTGGAAAAGACTTGAAACTGAGGCCGACATTAAAAATGGAGCAGGAACTACACTGGGCTAGATTGCCGTGGCCTAGACAAAGTCCAATTGAGAAACTTGGAAATTCACGTTAGCAGTCTCTTTGCAAAGACAAAAAATATATAAGACCGCATGAAGACTCATCTGTCTGCAGGGCAGAGGAGTCACGATGTCCACATAGAGTTGAAATGATTAACCAGATTAATTGTGTTAAATCGATTATTGAAATAATTGCCGACTAATTTCGTAATCGATTCATCATCATATTTCAGATGCTGAAATATGCAATTTGCTGGAAGGACAACAGAAAGTGCAGCAATGAAGCTAAAACTGTTAAAAATACAAACATTTTGCACTGAAGATGAAGAGAAAAAACCTGAACTCCTAAAACGACTACTTTGATTTCCGCTAAAAATCAAATCAGCTCTTAAGCACCTTTTGCCATCCAGTTATTAATAAGTTAATTCATGCTATCAATACACTGTATTGATTAAGTCAAGCAGAAACAGCTGGGCTTTTCACACGTCCATTTTAGCTGCAGATGCGTCATTGCTACATTCTATGCTATTGCATTTTACACAATAAAATTGTTATTTTTTTGTATATGTTACACTGAAGAGAATGATGAGCCGGGTCACTCCTCTGGTAGCACATTTATTTAGTTTAAACTGCAACAAGAAAGTACAGCGGTTACAAATCTGCTCCGAACATCTGCTGCAACAAGCTGTCCTCTAAGCACTGACGAACTTCTTCCGCCCGCCAGAGCATCACCCGCTGCCGCACACAGCGCCCCAACAAATTCACATACTCCCTACTGACATCACCGTACAACTACACAAACATATTTTCATTAACTCACTGAACTCAAATAATATATAAGTTTCGAACACATTTTAGAACACATTAAGCCGACCCACTGAGCCTACATAAGCGAGCCAAGCGCGAGCCGTTAGCCTCGCTCCTTAGCCTATCTCCTTTAGCCTGGTGCTAACTGCGGCTCTACATCTAGTTCGGTAATGCAGCTATACTGAAGCACCTTTGTTCTTTCATTTCGTACCCATCAGAGGCTACTGGTTTTATGAGCTATGCATTTTAATGCTCAGCTTACCTGCAACAAGAAAGTACAGCGGTTACAAATCTGCTCCGAACATCTGCTGCAACAAGCTGTCCTCTAAGCACTGACGAACTTCTTCCGCCCGCCAGAGCATCACCCGCTGCCGCACACAGCGCCCTCCGATGGTGGAATACAAACATTGTTACATCTAATAAATTCTAATGCTAGTTTCTGGCTGAGACTGATCGTCACAAAAACAAAATTGGGGGCTACTGGGCTACTAGTTTTGTGACTCACTTTCATAGTGCCACATATATAATGATGAATTCAGTTTTTTTTTCTAATTTGATTAGCAAAAATTTGATCTTCGGACTAAACTGATGTTTAGTCCGAAGACTAAACATCAGTGACGTTGTCACTTCCTTTTCTAACAGAGCATATTAATTAAATGCTACAAACTTGGATTTCTGTAAATTGAATAATAAGCACTGAGAAGTATATTGAACGTTACGTCTCCGTCTCTCTTCAGTCCTGGATGAATCTCTCTTCCTGCTCATCTCTCATTGATCCAGAATCTCAGGAAAACGATCCGTATCTGAGAGCAAGCCACGCATTTTGATGCTCAAAGTTCATAAAGTCGACCTGATGGAGCGAAACCAATGTGATTTTTGGATTCATGTCATCAAAATGACCCTAAAATAGCTGAAAAACCGCAGGCAGTGGTTTTGGCTGCTGACCGGCGCAATCGATTAATCGTCAGAATAATCGATATCGACTGGTATGTTATTGCGAATCACCCGAGGAATTCAATTGAAATGCGATGCCGTTCTTCTCTCTGCACGTCGGATCACACTTTCTAAAAGTCAAAAGCCAACCCACAGCTGACTTCCTGGCTTTAGAGGAAGCAGAACTATCAAATCAATGGATCTCCTTAGTCAAAATCATGAAAGTACTCCTTTAATCTTTGTTAAGAATTAAAACGTGAAGAACTTGATCTTAGCTCGTTAATTAATTCTTAGTCCCGAATTCCTGTGTCTGTGTAAGTGTGCAGAGAGAAAAGAGCAATCGTACGACGTCAGACTTCAGATATTCAGAGTTTTATCCAGAGAAAATCAATGCAAGAAGAATGTTACAATAATCATCTCACCTAGAATATCAAAAGTCCAAGACATTACAGAACAGAGACAAAGAACTGAGTAAAAAAGACAGAAGATGCATCCTCCGGGAAAACTCTCACCCAGCACAAAGAGATTCCAACTTCTGCTGTAAACCAAATCATTTTATAGAATGCGTAATCTCATCATTTAAATATATGCATTAGGAGGTGTGTTCTTTTCCTTTGTGTGGGCTGTCTTAATGTTAATTTTATTACCTCCTGCTAAAGAGCCCCAAAAGCAGATATACGGCAAACCCTTCTCGTATCAGCCGCTGTCCAGTTTGATATATGATTGCAGCTGCAGCGCTATCTCTGCCTCAAACTGTTTTCACAAGAAAGTAGTTTGTATTTTTAACCAAGCTTGCACACAATGTAATGCTAAATAATGACTATAAGTTTGGATCTAATAAGTAACTAATTAAAAACCATGCTTAAAGAAATATAGTTAATTCTAATATAGATAAAATTATTTATAAAAAGTTTTAAGATCCTAGTGAACTTTGAACCATGCTCAGGAATTTGTTAATTGCCTGGCATATAGGCTCCTTATCTCAAGAGATCCAAGGAGTCTAGGCCTATGTTTTCTGTTTCTTCTGTCTGATCCTCCTTTTAAGAATTTATCTGCTTTTCAGAGATTGAGCCGTTGTTTTTAGTTTCATCTAAATTTATATGAACCTAGAGTGTACTTTAACTTTCTATGTTATATTTTATATGTGTCAAAGCTATCCTGTGCAGTATTGTGCTAACTTAAAATTCTATGTCAACATCTTCCAGTTTATTCTTCCATGCAGCATGTGGAGAAATTCACAAAGCTTATTGAGATGGATATATTTATGAAAGCCAATCCCCCTGTGAACTCACCACGGCGACAGTCTTTCATTTTCGATAAAGGACGATGATTAAAGTTGTGCTGCGCAGCGCCATCAATCATGCTCCTGCCAAGCGAGTGGGGCGTTTTTCCCCTCGTTCACCACCAGGAAGCGTCAGAGAGCAGCGGGCCGCAGCCGGGGCCTCGTCTGACGCCGCGAGGCAAGGAGCGACGCGGAGCTGCTTTCCTCGACGTCTGTCGACAAAAGCCGACAGGCGAGAGAAAGAAAAGAGAGACGTTCGAGTGTCTGTTTCTGTGATGTCTGTCCCTGTTTCTCTCTCAGACGCAGCCACACGTAGCCGTCACTGTTGCTCCTTCGAGGCTCACTCTGCACCACGAGGGGTTTTTCAGGCGCTGTGGGTTTTATGTGGAGCCCTCGGCGCCGCCGCTCCTGGCCGCATTCGCCAGTATGTTGAGATTTACTGTTTTTCTCCACTAAAGAATATTTACATTTTTATTGTTATTATTTTGCCGAGTGAAGAGAAACTTGTTGACTCTTTTTGCCTTTTGCTTCTCCTGCAGCAACCCCGCTGGAGGGCAAGACGTGTTTCCGTGGTTATCTCTTCCCGCTGCCGGTCCCACTGGGATTCGTTCCTCGGACAGTTTATGATGTTACTGCAGGTAACAGCACAATGAAAACCGAACTGGACCCCAAACTGAGCCCTTTACTCCCTAGAAACTTCCTTCAGAGCTTTGACAGGATTTGAGTCAGGAGAAGCTACAGCAACACATTTACAGACCAAGAGTTTTCATTTTAATCTTACACATTTTTGTACAGTTTTGACTTAATTACTGCTGTAATGGTGACGTTTTAACAAATGTGTTTGAGTCTCTACACTCGTCAATGACTTATTATCAGCTGGCGATCATTTCAAGGATCGATTCGTGACGATGAATCGTTTCAGGCCAGATCGCCTTTTCTTTCTTTCTTTAACAAATTCAGTCCAAATCTCGAGTGCGTTTGAGGCAAACACAGTAAATCTCCAAGAAAGGAGTCTGGTTTTTGAAAGTCTTTGCTCTGGGCTCCCCCGCAGTGTTCCGAGGGTTCTGGACCGCCCTGATGGTGTTCGGGCTGCTCTCGGCTCTGACCGGAGGCCTGCTGCTGCTCTGTGGCGTTCCCTTCACCAGCAGCAAACTGTACCGGCTGGGCGGGGCGTTCCTCATCGCAGCCGGTAAGACCCAGGCAGCCGCGCCGCCTGCGCAGACGCAGACGGTGACAGTCGCCTGTGTCTCCTCCTCCCGCTCTCTGCAGCCGGCCTGCTCCTGCTCCTGCTGCTGTTCTTCGTGCTCTGGATGGAGGCGGCGGACGTGGGGAGCTACGTCCTTCAGGAGAACGGGGAAGAGTGTCCGGACGCTGTGGTCTCCGTGCATTACGGCCTCTCCTTCCTGGCGGCCGCCGCCGGCGTCCCCCTGGAGGTCCTGTCCGGGCTGCTCTTCCTGCTGGCGGGCCGCGCGCTGCGCGCCGCCAGATGAGCCGAAGACACGGCTCATCGGGGGGAGGGGGTCTGGGGTCAACGTTTCTCAGGAAGTGGAAGGGAGATGATATATACGGTTTTATATTTGTTAATGTTTCACAAATAAGTGCCAGTCTGTGTTACTCCTCAACAAAATCCACTATGACCACTTTCATCCGGAAGTCACTTCATTTGTTATAAGTGTTTAAATTAAACCTCAGTAGAAATATAATATGTGCTGCGATATAGTCTATTTTGTAATTATTTTTTGTCTTTTCTTGTTCATATATATTTTTTTCATTAGAAACAGAAAACATTGAAGAAAAATGCAGCTTGAAGTCGCTTGAAGCTTCTGTTGTCATAAATGGAGAGAAATCTTGTTCTTAAAGGGATAGCTCGGGGTTTTCAAAGTGCAGATGGGTTGATGAGCAGTTAGTTTCCTACCTGCAGTAGAAAACTCTTGGTGTTTTATTTCATATAAATACAGATTAAGTTTCCTGAGACGCGTGAAAACCTCGGCGTGTTTCTCTTCTCCGATCTCAGGAGACTCACAGTGATTCATGCAAACATCATTTTGAGAAACAAAATCAAACTGCTGTCATGTTTGCATTATGCAGGTATGAAGGCGATGGTGGACCTCAGGGACTGAGCTTCGGCACCCTGGCGTAGAGCTCTTTCACTTAGACGTGTTTTTTTTAGGTTCTTGCTTTAGTTTTTCTCGACTCCCTTGATCTTCTTGGTTAGCTCACTTTATGAAACTGAGTAAAGTTTATTTATGTTTTAAACATTTTTTTGTCAATAAAATCAACCTTTGACTTCAACATCATCATTCAAGGCGCTTTTCTTTTTCTTTTTTTTGTCTACAACAAATTGACAGTATTTGACTTTGCTGACAGAAAAGAAAAGCTGCTCGACAGCTGAGCCCCGTTTGATTCGGAGAACATTTCAGCTGCGGGAAAACTCACCGCGCCTGATCTGAGGAGGCAGAGTGACAGCAAGACAGACGGAAAACAAACGAAGGAAGAGAAATCCCAGGGAAGCCTCGCACTGGGACTGTCAGAAACTGTATTTATTGTTACGCGGTGGTTTCTGTTTGCTCTGCACGTCTATGGGACACTGGCAACGGACGACAAGCCAGATTAAAGCAGAGGTGAGGCAAAACGCCAGCAAGCTTTTTAAAGGAGTATTTACTGCGCTACGGTAAAATCATTTCAGGGCGGCGACGTGTTGACCATACGACCCTTCCTCTTGGCGTAGCCTTCATTAAATTGATCATTAGCATCTTTGTATTTTTTAATTTTTTTGCATGTTTATCTATGATGGGGCCTCCTTCCAACACCCTAAGATTTAACATCCTGCACAGATTTTCTGTCAGATTAACAGTCAGGATCACTCTGAAATATTAACATTGTTTTTTTGCCAGTCAGAAGAAACATGTTGGCAAAATCACAACATTAAAACACACCTAAAAATGCAGAGGGTAGGAACAATCTGCACGCCATGTTGATGTGTTTATTTACTGCATTTATCTCTACGGCCTTCACAAAATCACAGAGGTCAATAAAAAATGTTTTCAAGAAACGATCACAGCTGACATTTTCAGTTGAAATGATCTAAAATGGTCTAAAATGGTCTAAAATGATCTAAAATGGTATAAAATGACGCCACCGACAAGTATCTGTTCATTCACTGCCCCCGACCGACCGGCAGAGGGCGCTCCCGCTCTCTGCATGGCTCTGAGGCGAACGGCGGCGCGGAAAGGGAAGAGGAAGTGATCGCGGAGCGAGACGTGTTTCCTGTTCCCTCGCTGATGAATCAACTCTGTCATCCTGAGCCACAGAAACGCGCTGACGTGAAACTCCTCGCATTTGAGAATGACATGGTGGAGGGGGCAATTATGGTAACGCAGGGGCGTGAACAGACGTTTGACAGGTGGGGGCATAAAAAAAAAATGGCTGCACATTACATGACAAAAAAAAAACCTACATAAAAAAAAAATCAAAAGGGCGCTTTGTCCGCCTGTCTGATTAGCATTAAGAACAAACATTAAAAAAAACAATTGTTTTATTTACATGATTTTTATATCTATATAAGGAGCTTGTGTTTTAATGCTTTTTCCTCCAGGTTGGGGTCTGAAGTTCCCCTTTTCTGCGTTTCTGTCAGACAGCAGAGCAGCAGGATGTGGACTCGCTCTGCAGGGAACGTTAACCCTGCGTGGGCCCTGTGGCCCTCCGGAGCACCTGGACTGAATACTGGTGGGCTCTAATCCAGTCAAAGAGGGGGATACACTCGGCGAGAGCACTTTCTTCCCATTCTCTGACCCCCTAACGCCGCTAGTGAGCCGATTACCTGCTCTGTGTGGGTGCGCGTGTTTGAGATCCAGCCTGTCAGACCCCGTGTGGGTGTGGGTGTGTGTGTGTGTGTGTTTGCGTGCTGAGGCCAGACGGACACAGTTTCTTGCAGATAAAAGCCTTTTCTCCTGTCAAAAATGACTGCCCTGATAAGAGCTGATATGGGAGAAAAGCAAGCCTTATGGCATCGCTCTTGCTTTTTTTTTTGTTTCTTTTGTAAACCCCAAATCCCCAGGAACACACCCACCCTTCTTACCAAACACACACACACACACACACACACACAGAGCTAATCTCTGTTGGGGGTTATAGTTGAGGTGGAGAAGGAGCAGGTGTAGGGATAAAGAAGAGTCGCTGTGTGGGTTTCTTCTTGCATTATTGTACCAATATATATATAAAAAGAACCAGTGTAGTCACATTGAACACATTCTTTTCTTTCACACACACACACACACACTCTGGCACACGCACACAGTTCACGCAGACAGATTATGTCTGAGACAGTCAGCGCTCCTGCCTTCAATTAACCTCACAAAGACAGGATCACTTACACGCTCATGATGCTGATAGCAGGAGGGAGACACTGAGGACCGTGTGTGTGCGTTTGTGTGTGTGTGTGGAAGCGGTTGCAGCCTGTACGACACGGCGACGACTGATACAACAGCGAACTTATTAGAGAAGGACATCGTGTCATATCATCTGTCTTTGGAGAAGATTTTTTTTTTATTCTTCACATGCAGCAACTCATGCTACTGAAAATAGGGGAGATAAAAAGAAGTGAAATGTTCCAACAATTGAACACCAGCAGTCAAATTAGAAATTGCGACGTCTCGATGAGATTTTAGGCAATGGAGCAGCACAAGTTAGTTTACACTGATACTTATGAAGGGAAAACTCTGAAAAAAAAAAGATCCATTTTAATTCTGATTAAAAACAATCCAGAACAGCAGGGGCAACCCCAAGTGGAGGGCCTGGGGAGGCCACGGCCCTCTCTTCAACTGCAATGCTCCTCCATTCTTATGTTTAGTTCATAAGAGGGCTAGTGTCAATTTCTTCAATCAAGACAGAGTCGTAAGACTCAATAATTTTATAAAATCCAAAATAAAATAAGAAAAAATGTGTTAATATAGATTATGACAGTTACTTTCAGATATTTGTTGTTGTTTCTTCTTTGTTATTAAATTTTTGCCATCCTTGCCTGAAAATCAGCTGGTTGTGTTTTTAGCAACCCAACTACAAAAGACCCCCAACGCTTGTTAAATAACGTTAGCAAACAAGCAGCATGAAGAAACGCTGCAGACCGGTCAGGAAGTGGAGAAGTTTAAAGCGGAGTAAGGTTACAAAACAGGCTGTGGACACAGAGCGTGATTCAAGCCATCATCTGAAAACAAGCCGATGAGGAGATTATTATTTAGAGATATAGCCAAAAAAATAAACACAAGTTCAGACAGGACAACCATCAAACTTTTATGTCTCTAATGCAAATCATAACAAATCCACACGAGACCAGAGCTACAATGGAACAGGTCAGATATAAATCTGACTGCTTTAAGTATTTTTTTTATTTACAGATGTTCTTCATGATCCCTGACTGATTAAGATTAAAAAATTTTCCGGGTTCTGGTCAGTGGAGACATAAAGACGTGCGCCTGCGACTCCTGCCTAAAGGAGATCCTGTGAAGTCTTGACTCGGAAGGGCTGGATAAGAAAAGGCACGCCGCACTATTCAAATTCTTATTCGCATACATTTGTAAAACTATTTTTGTTAACGTCACAAAAAAAAAAAAAAAAAAAAAACGAGCTCTACTTTTTGTTGATTTAGCACGTACGTTTTTGGTTGCAAAGCCAAAAATAAAATCTGTAAAGCGTTAACGGGGAGTGGATATTTCAGCAATAGCTACGTCTTTTATTTGTCTTAAAAATGTTGATATAAAACACTGACAGACAATCGGAAACATACCGCAGACAAAAACACCGCTGAGGCTCCCACATATATTCAAATCAAGTCAGTTCCTTTGATATTAGTATTAATGATAATAATACAATTATTAGGACAGTTCGGAGTGAACTGACAGAACATTTTCCTTTAACTTTGACTTATCCGTCGTTTCTGTTTTACTGATTTATACACACACTCACACAAACACACACACTCTCCATTCTTCCTGCTGAACGACAGGAAGAGGAGAGGCAGAGCAGAGGGGGGGCTGAGCGATTAGTTTCAGGGTTCTGGGCCGCTTGATTGGCAGCTGGCAGCATATGGAGCTGCGAGGAAGGTTTGCCCACGCTCACTTCTGAGGAAACAAATATTTGCCTGAAGGAGAGCAAGCGAGAGGGAGAGAGAGAAAAAATATTAATTAGTTTGCAGACGCACCGAGAGATAAAAGTGGGCAAGACGTACCCATCAAAAGGCTGCAGAGTTAGCTGCAAAATGGAAATTTTCCCCAAGTTGACAGATCCGGCGGGCTGCTAACACAGAGAGAGCGAGAGAGAGGGAGAGAGAGAGAGAGAGAGAGAGAGAGAGAAACTAAACAAAACAAAAAAACAACATGTGAGCCGGGAAAACACTGAGGTGCACAAACAAAAAGAAGCCAACGTGGAGCCGGCGTTAACATCCGCGCGGGTTCACACACCTTGTGAGAGAAATTAACATTTAGATGCGGATCTTTCACACCTCTGTGGCTGCCAAAATTATTTCTTAATTATTATACGCGATCAAAAACAAGAGGTGCAGGAGAAGGAGAAGGAATTGACACGTGTGAGGGAAAGTCAGAGAGAGGAAAACGGAAAAACTCACTGCAGCTTTAAAGAAACACAAAAGAGAAACCTGGGTGACTTACTGGCGCTAAAGAGATTTTAGCAACTTTGGAACTAAAATAGAAACTACGCTTTTTATTTTCTCATCATGTGCACAGGGTTGTTGTCGCTATCATTAAAAAACAGAATAGAAATAGGCTGTCGGACTGGTTAGCTTAAATGTCTTGTCTGTTTTAAAGTAAAACTATTGGAAAGTTTATGTAGTTTTCTCTGGATTGGATTGGATTTCCAAAAAAAGTTTGGCAATCCGGTTGTTAGGTTAAACACCTAACAAGTCAAGCTAATCATTGGCCAAAAAAGCATTGTTTCTTTAGCTAGCTATGCTAAGCTAACTAAAAGGGGGGAAATATTAAAATATTTTCAAAATGTGAAACGTTACTGAATGTATCACGCATCCAAAAACTGGCACAAGTTTAACACACACAGAGTATGTCTCTAACCTTGTTAGCCTGTGTTAGCATGGTTTTGAGAGGTTGGACTAGCAAGCTCAAAACTACGACAGTATGAATACATGCTATCCTCGCTAAACCAGAGTCCTGTGACCATTGTAGAAAGCTCAGAAAATCGACCATAAAAATGTGTGTAGCGTTCTCGTTACAGATTTTGAGAAGTTCAGGCTCCATTGTGTCTTCAAGCTAACGTGTTTCTACGTGGATGT